CAAAAACTCAATAATTGAGAATTCATTTAGCCCACTTAACAAGAGAAATTGATTTAGTTAGAAGGATTCCAAAAAAAAGTAACGAACTTCAACTTTGAGAAGTATTTGTTGTCCTTTGAAGCATTCACGCTAACATCCACTCGTGATCATTGACTAATGACGTTCAATCCATAACTTTATCTCAAAATCTTTCTCTCTTATTTCTCTAATACGACTGTTAGTTATATTTGTTCTAATTATATTCTTCTTTTCTTTCAGGATCGTGTAATCAGTGAATCAGGAGCAGATTCAGCAGCCGTTCTCCCTCTGGCAAATAACATTCTCTCCCCGTCTCTCCTAGCACCGCCCATTAAGGCGGGGCTAATCTTCTGTTCGTCTAATTGAGTCCATTTTTGTGTGCGCACTTCATTTGTGCGCGTGCACAGAAACGATCCATCCTAGCACGCAGGTACCGCATTGGGATCTCTTTCGCGCTGTCTTGCGCTTGAATGGCTTAAATCACTTTAAAGTTTAAACTGACAAGACTTGTCTTAACTAATTAACTTCTGTAGCTTTATAAGTTATTTGTGTATATTTACTTCATAGAGTAATAGTTTTTACAAGCACTATTAGGTTTAGGTAATTTGGTCTCTCTGAAGGCTCAGCCCCCCTGAGGATAAAATACTAGAACCGCCCCATGTTTCAGTCTCTTAATTTCTCCTGATATTTTCTAAATTGCCTAAATGTCAAAATTATTACAATAACAATTACATCATTACAATATCTTTATAATAAAATTCTAATACTGAACATGTTATTGCATTATAATGAGTCATATTTTTCCCATACGAAAATTAACCATCGTTAACTTTAGTAATGGTTGTGTTGTTGTCAGCCCTAGCTCCCTCTAAACATTTTATAACACGATGTGAATATTTGTCTGCTAAATTACTACTGTAACATTACAATAGATAATAATGTCCTTTAGCATCAGTGTTGGGCTTGTTACTCCAAAAATGTAATTTAATACTCGTTACTAGTTACTCCTTTCAAAAGTAATATTATTACTTTACTTCTTACTTCTTGGCAACAGTAATAATTAGTTACATTACTTTTCTTTCATACCCCACATAAGCAGCATATCTTCCCCATAAAATTCTTCTAAAATGTTACAAACAATATATTTCTGCCTCATCATTTGACCAAAATCTACATTGGATGGCAGTCAGAAGTTATTACAAACACTCAATGGTGATTGATAGTGACTTTTAAGTCAAAGTGTTTTATTAATTGTCTTGTGTAGAGCTTGAAGCTAATTGTAGCTATAATTTCTCAGTTACCCAAATATGATGATATTTCATGAAGTATTTTATCAAAATAAATCACATAAGTTCATACATTTTTAAATTTTAGTAATATAATTTATATCGGGATCAGAGGGATGTGGGTGGGCAAGCCATGTAATACCAGAGTAAAGTAATGCCACAACGTACACATTTGTGTTCAGATCACATTTTCTCTTGACAAAATCAGTGTAATGGCAATATCTCCATTCTCTGAATGTAAGCTTTTCCATATTCCAAGCTTCCATGATGCACTGGTGACTTCATGTGCCTGTGCGATAGAGATCGGCTGATATATCGATTTACCGATATTTTTCCCGATATTTAAGCATTGTGCAGGTACTTGATTTGCTGTAGTTAGTAAACTTTATTTAACGTAACAGCCATTTATGCACAAATTAGATGCATTACATAAATGCCTGATATGTAGTTTATGCAGCTTGGCTCTAAGAAATAGAGACCAACTCATGGACTCGTGTAAAATAACCCGTCAAGTCCTGTCCCAATAAAGACATAACTTCTAGAAGGACAAAAACATTATTAATAATTCTGGTATAACATTCCAGTTGAGAAATGCAATAAAATACGATGTTTTGTCTGTTATATTCCAATATTCCAGAGAATATTATTCAGTGAATTAACATTATCCAGTGAATTATTCTTGACTCTGTAGCTATTAAACAGCTTATAAACCGACTAAAACTAGTTTAAAAAGAAGTTTATAAGAATCCTGTCCTTTATTTATTTTCTCCATTTGAAAACATTAGACCTTCTACATTTATTTTGCTTATTGTTAATATTAGTGTTGCTGCTGATGCTTTAAATAAAATGTTTTTTTATTGTTGTAATGTGAAGATTAAATTTAACATGAAAGACTGCAAATTTTCAACACTTTAAAAAAAAAAGATGACTGAAAAGAGGAAAAACCAAAGTGAAGTATGTTCTTACTTCACTCAGTCATTTATTTACTTTATAACAGTAAATAAATATCGTTTCTGCATATCGGTTATCGGGCACATAAACATGCAAATAATTGGTATCGGTATCGGTTATCACTACTGTGCGAGTCATGAAAATTATGAAAATAAATCTAGGAATTATTGGATTGTTGGATTTCAAATCAGTAGGTGTTGAGGTAACAAAAGTAACTAAGTTACGAGCTGTTTTATGGATGGTAACTGTAATATTATTACTGAAATCTTATTTGTAATTAGTTACACTACTAGTTACTGCAAAAATAAATATTATTACAGTAACTATTTACTGCCCAACACTGTTCAGCATACAATGTTTTGAGTGATGAGTAATGGGCTGCTACTGCTAACAGGCGCTAGCAGTTTAATTATTAACTAAGTAAACAAAGACAAAACTACAGTAGCCTATTTACAGATAAAACTGACCTGCACTTGAAGTCCTGAACAGGTCAGTAGTTTTGCCTCTCTGCTCCAGCTGGGCGCTTCCACTCCATTCTCAAGTCTCTCGCATTGATCACTCTGATAAAAACTGTTTGGCGCCAAATGGTTTACTTCTATATATTCAATTTACATTTATATATTAAGATTTACTTCTACATATTCAGATTTGTATCTATATATTCATGGTGAACTGTATATTCACATTTGAAGTTTATATATTCAGATGTACTTCTATATATTCAGATTTACATTTATAAATTCAGCTTTACATTTATACATTCAGATGTACTTCTATATATTCAGATTTGTATCTATATATTTGTGGTTATAACTTTATATTCACATTTTAAGTTTATATATTCAGATGTACTTCTATATATTCAGATTTACATTTATAAATTCATATTTACATTTATATATTCAGATATACTTTTATATATTCAGATGTACTTCTGTATATTCAGATTTACATTTATACATTCAGATGTACTTCTACAGTATCTCACAGAAGTGAGTACAACCCTCACATTTTTTGTAAATATTTTATTATATCTTTTCATGTGAGAACACTGAAGAAATGACACTTTGCTACTATGTACACTTCCACAACTCTTACCCTGCGTATGCAAATCTTTTTGACGTCATTCTACCTTCATAATTGGCGGCATACGAATGTTTCATGAATCACACGTGAACTCTGTCGTAAGTTGATTTGTGCGCACGGATCTGCGCTCGTTTCTACGTTAGATTGATAAATGAGGCCCATTGTCTCCGCTTTCCCTCCTTTCTTTGTCCTCCTCCTTCTTCTAACAAGACTGCTGAGGTTCAAGTCTAATCCCCTCAGTAACAGCTGTAGAGGTTAGATCTTGGTCACATAGTTGCCTGGAAATAAACCTTCTTTATCTCTCAGTTTCCCTGTCCACCATCCAGAGACATCTAGACAAATAAATAATGCATAAATATAAAAACTGCTATGTTCTGCCACTAAAAATAAATTGTTTGTGAAAATGCTCACGTGCCAATTTCACACAAACAAAAAAAGTTAATCAACAAGACCCACAATGTATCTCTAAAATGGTCAGAAAATAAGATATATGTAAAATGCCCGCAATATTCACAAAACTATATTCACAAAACATTAAGAATCAAATTTTTTTTAATAGCTATTTCTAGTTACATTTTTTAAAATATTTTGATTTATATTAGTTATTAAAAATCTGCCACAAGTCGTTAGAAAAAATATATATTATGCAAAATAAACATTTTGTTAGTTCTCACCTTCATGAGTGATGTCAATGATGTCATCTGCGTTGAAACTGAGCTCATCGGTGTCTTGGGAGTCATATTTGTAAAGGGCTTTACATTGAGGCACCTGGGGCTTCAGCTTGGGGGCCTGTTTGGGCCGAACACTTCCTGGAGCAGGAAAAACTGTAAGTGTGTGTCTGATCTTCAGCAGCATTTGATCATCTATATTTTATTGTCTCTTATAGTCTATATTGGTTTAAAAAGATGTATTCTTACAGTCTGTTGTGTTAGACTTATTAACGAATTATGTTGGCTTGAGAAATTATTATTATTTATTGATTCTGTTTTTTTATCTTTTATAACTGATGCAACTTACAGTTTTCCTAAAAATGACAATCAAACCTCAGAAAAATTCCACAGACTGTCATTGACGGGATGTTCAAATGAGCCAAAACTGTTCAAACTACAAATGACAAAAATTCACATTTAAATAGACAGAATCCCATTAGACTCAATTAAACTGCTATCTAAGCTTACGTTTACACTTGGCATTAACATGTGATCACCGTGATCCAATCAAGCCGATCGGATCATCAATCAATCAGGACACGGCGCGTTTACACTTGGCAAAATCAAGTGACTCCTCTATCTGGATTTTTCCAGCGCAATATTTAAATAAGTCTTCTGACAGTTTGGGAGAGAGGTGGCGGGTTTTGCGTGACGTCGACCTGCGAATGCAGACGCGATGGCTGGATTGCGTTTACATTACATGGAGATCCGATTTCAATGCGTCCTCGACTACCTCTGGACCAGAACACACTGATCGGATAACATTCCGATCAGAAGCGCGTTTACACTTGTCTTTTCAATGTGTATGTGGACAACATCCGGATACAGGTCACATGTTAATGCCAAGTGTAAATGCAGCCTAATATTTCTAATCTATCTATCTATCTATCTATCTGATACCATCCATCATTTCCAGTGTGTGTGTAAGAACTCAGATCTGCAGTCAGACTCACTTTTCGGTGTGCTCAGCTTGAGACTGAAATCAAACCACATTCACTTCAATCATCTCCATCAACACACATCAACACAATCACAGCATTCAGATATGAGATAAACTCTGATACTGACATATAACAGATCCAGAAGCAGATTGATGATCGTCATTTACAAAAATAATCAACTCCAAGTCCATTATATTAAATATATCAGATCATAACTCTATATAGTGATCCTACAGCTGTAATGAAAATGACTCTGAATTCTGTTTCCTCACCGTGATGTGTTGAACTGTTTTCTCAAACTCTCCTTTCGTTGTTTCATTATGTTGAAGTTTCTCTTGTAATGATTTCAGTGCTGTATTGAGCTCCTCCTATAATTGAACAAAAAGTACATAAAACACCAGATTACAGCGAAGAAAATAAGAGAAGACAATACAGTGATTTGATCATATTAGGGATGCACCGATATGAAAATTTTGACCAATACGATAACCGATAATTCTTTAAATATAAAAGCCGATAACCGATATGTTGGCCGATAAATCTAAATCCAAATTTTTATATAATTTTGAGAGCCTGATTACCAAAAAAGTCTCACCATTAAAAGGCATTAAACACTTCAACATAAACCAAACATAAAGCAGCCTTACAAATAAATAAAATATTGCTTAAATAATTCAAACAAGTCACTGGACAACTTTACTTAAGTGTAAAAAAAAAAAAAAGTGCTATACGTTTAGGCCTTTACATTAGGGATGCACCGATATGAAAATGTAGGACGATACCGATACCCGATATTTCTTTAAATATGAAAGCCGATAACCGATATGTTGGCCGATAAATCTAAATCCAAATTTTTATATAATTTTGAGAGCCTGATTACCAAAAAAGTCTCACCATTAAAAGGCATTAATCACTTCAACATAAACATTATAGATAAATTAAACGGAATAACCTCCGCACTGACAATAATGAAATTATTTTAATTAAACCATATTGTTGATGAAAATAATAAGATACAAATAAATGTGGTGGTTATTATTAATAATATATCAATGATTTTGAAAAAGAAGTACATTAAATTAATAACACTGTTTCAAATATCAGCATTGCTGTTTGAGCTGCTGCGCTGTAGCTGAAGAGCAATGAACACCAGTCAACTGAAGCACATTGTTAACCAGTGTTGGGCAGTAACTAGTAACTTAATTACTGTAATAATATTACTTTTTGCAGTAACTAGTAGTGTAACTAATTACTAATAAGATTTCAGTAATAATATTACAGTTACCATCCATAAAACAGCTTAGTACTAATTTACTATGTTTTGTTTCCTGTCATTTTGCTTTATTTGAAGTTTGATTCATCGCGGGTTCCCTCTTACGTCATACTCCAGGGTTCCCTTAGGCATTTATGCACATGCGCACTCTTCAAAAATGTCTCAGGTTACGTATGTAACCATGGTTCCCTGAGTAGGGAACGAGACACTGCGTTCTCTAGGTTTCTTGCCATGCTGCGGACGCAAGCTTCAGATGAAGAAGTGGATGATGTGTTCTCCCGGCGCCTATTTATACTATACCGGTAGTGACGTCATGGCTGTCGCCAGCCAACGTGTTGTTGGTGTTTTTTCAATGTATGATTCAGACACGGGTCACGACGAGGTGTTCCCCATAGAGGACGCAGTGTCTCGTTCCCTACTCAGGGAACCATGGTTACATACGTAACCTGAGACATTTTTGAAGAGTGCGCATGTGCATAAATGCCTAAGGGAACCCTGGAGTATGACGTAAGAGGGAACCCGCGATGAATCAAACATCAAATAAAGCAAAATGACAGGGAACAAAACATAGTAAATTAGTTATCAGGTGCCATGTTCAATACAGCAGCATCTCAGAGATCTCGAATCAATTCATTAGCAGAAGTTATTACTCCACCACATGCATGTGATGTCATTAACAACGGCCCTAAATTGTTGAACTAATGTGGTTCAAACGACGGAGATGTCAAGGTGTACTTTGTGACAAGGTGTACTTTGTGAAATAATTGCCTAATATAGTATTAACTCTTCCTTCGTGCTGCAAAGATATTGCAAAGCACCAAGATTAAACTTAAGCCTCTTCATCTGAGCTGCCTCAACCATTTGTCACGGTGACAGTCACTGCTCTTCAGTGTCAAAAAATAACAAAGCCGTTTTCATCATATATTAGGCATATGATTAATATGATTAATAATGAATGGGCACATATTGTGAATTTACTAAACTTAATTACGTAGCTTTGGTAGCCTTCAGTAAAATAACTTGTTTAATAAAATGATTCATAAAACATATAAATATCAGTCGACCATTTGTTTATTTTCTTCAATGACAAAAATGAAAATGCTATCAATCAAAGCAGAGAGCTGGTATTGACAAATAATATACTGCCCACTGACAGTTTTAAATTGTTATCCAAATGTTTGGTCTTCAAACAGTTCATCTTAAATATTAGGGCTGTCAAAATGGATGAAAAACTAAATACAAATGTTATACTTAAATATTAATATACTTAAATAATATTAATAGTATTTGAGAGTTATATTCCAATTTAAAAGTAATTATTTCAGTTAGGTGGAAAAAGCTTTTGTCTCCTGTGGCTACAAGAGGGTGCAGTGAATTCGAAATACAGTTTTTGCATTTGAATGTGGATTTTTATTTTAAATTAGACGAATATTCGAAATTCTAATTGTAATTTGACAGCCCTACCACACATGCAGTTCAGTGAAAAAAAACATTTTATTTTTTTTTTTAAATGGGAGATTTGGAACCTCTGTAATTTTAAAACCCTGGCTACGGCCCTGGTCCTGAAGGTGTAGATCTGTTGTGGATGCGCTCTTCCCGTAACAACACGCTGAAACACGGGCGAACAAAGATTCCATAACATTATTTTACAGACGCTAATGATCTCATTATAATATGACAGATTTGTCCTGCACATGTTGCAGTTCACTGTATTTTCCTTTTCGAAGTGATTCGAATAATATTTCAAACAATTAAAAACCATCATGGTGAACAGTGCGCATCGGAAGTGTCTCTGCAGGAAATAATGCATTATTTATCAGTGTGACAAGTGGGGCGGGGCCGAGAGCCGTGGGAGCAGAGCGGAGCGAGGCCAGTGGAGTAATGATAATGAGCGACACCTGCGCCACGCACCGGTCTCGAGTCCCACGGAGGAGCTCCGGAAGGATAAAAGGAGGCGTGTCGACAGTGAATGACGAGAGAGGACCAGGCCTGGATTTTATGTTGTTGTTTTATGAGGCAGTCGTCCGTGAGGGGCTGCTGCTTTTACTTTCGTTTTGTGTTTGTTTATTTATTTATTAAAGTTTTATGTTTAGATGTTCGCCGGTTCCTGCCTCCTTCTTCCCAATCTACGAACTTTGTTACAGTCGGCTTTAAGATATCAGCCAAATTCTCTTATCGGTTCAATCATGATAACAGAAAAATTTACATTTATCGGCTGATACCAATCTGGTGGCCAATATATTGTGCATCCCTAAATCATATAATGCAGAGCAAAATTTCCTGATTTTCTTCTGTTTTTGTGTACACCTCATGCTAAATTGATTCAGAAATTAAAACCTACCATGGAACAAAAGGCAACCTGAGCAAACATAAAGCACAGTTTATTAATGACAATGTTATTTATTATAGCAAACAAGTTATCCAATACCAACTGGGCCTGTGTGAAAATGTATTTGCCCCTGTAGTTACTAATGCTGCGTTCCAAACAAATCCGAAATTTGTTTCCCCCCTTGAAAAGTAATTTCTCTTACCTTATATGATGGAACAACTTCACTGATGGGCCTGACTGTGTGATTGACGTGTTTCTGTGAAATAAAGCACTCTACACACACCGGCTGTTTGTCCTCCAGACAGAAGAGTTTGAGTTTCTCACTGTGTAAACTGCAGATCTCCTCAGATCCTGATGAACGGCTATCATTTCTATCCTTCAGGAACGACTCACACAAGTTCTTTAACACAAGATTACATGGAGGATCAGCATGAGAAGATATTCTCCTGCAGACAGGACACTCCTGAGTTTCCTTGATTCTCCAGAACTGCTGAAGACACTCTTTACAGAAACTGTGACTACATGATAAAATAACAGGAGCCTTGTAGATTTCATGACACACGGGACAAGAAAAATCATCTTCATATAGTGAAGCCATTTTCTATCTAAGCTCCGGCAATCTGAACTTTTTTTTTTTTACTTTCTGAACGATGGTTTCAAAAAATTAATAATCACAAAAATCACAAAGTTCTGTCTGTTCACCAACAAACTTCTCAAAAATTCTTATTTAGAGCATTTTTCATCATTCTTCATTGATCACTGATTCTTTATTGCTTTTGTCAGTAGAGAAATCAGTACAACAGAAAGGAGAAATAACACGGCAGTCTCTTTCTGGTAAGTGTTGTGAGAGGAGTTTCTGGTCACCTTTGGGTGTGTTTAAACAGGTCAGACAAGAACGTCAGGATTTGTGCAGGTAAATTTTTTAACTAATTGTATTCAAAATGAATTTGCATTGAGACGTTAAAATATAATGATATAAAACCTTGGATAAAATACAAAAGAACAATGATAATACACAAATATTAATAATAAAAAAAACTTAAATGTGTTTTATTTATTGCTCTTTATTGAAGCTCCGGCAATCTGAACTTTTTTTTTTTTACTTTCTGAACGATGGTTTCAAAAAATTAATAATCACAAAAATCACAAAGTTCTGTCTGTTCACCAACAAACTTCTCAAAAATTCTTATTTAGAGCATTTTTCATCATTCTTCATTGATCACTGATTCTTTATTGCTTTTGTCAGTAGAGAAATCAGTACAACAGAAAGGAGAAATAACACGGCAGTCTCTTTCTGGTAAGTGTTGTGAGAGGAGTTTCTGGTCACCTTTGGGTGTGTTTAAACAGGTCAGACAAGAACGTCAGGATTTGTGCAGGTAAATTTTTTAACTAATTGTATTCAAAATGAATTTGCATTGAGACGTTAAAATATAATGATATAAAACCTTGGATAAAATACAAAAGAACAATGATAATACACAAATATTAATAATAAAAAAAACTTAAATGTGTTTTATTTATTGCTCTTTATTGTTGGTGAGTGTTTGAAGCTCACAGAGTTTCTTCAGTGTCTGTCATGATCAAATCTTTGTTTCTTTGTTCGTCTGTTTATCACGATGATTGTCAGTGTTTGGAGACGTGAAGAGGAACCAAACAGATCAACAGAGTAAAAGTTCTGAATAAACAGGAGAAACGGAGATGTGACAAAAGTATGTGGTCTCTCAGGCATTGTCAGCACCTCTATTAATCCGCATTTAGTAATTCCTGCAATCTGACGACTGGAGCTGAAATGAAGGTAAATGTGATTGATGACATGAGCTCTTGAGATTTAATCCTGAAGATCCTTTTATGCAGCAAACACATCAAGACCAGAAGAAAAAACACCACAACTGATCTATTTAAGCGATACAATATAAAATGAGCTTAAATTGTCAGCCTCCACATGATCTACTAGTCATAATGATTTCAGAATACATCAGAATAACTCAAATATAACATTTTATTTGTCAGGTAAAAATGCATCATGCCAATTACATAATTAAACAATGAGAATCCAATTCAGAATTAAATTCAGTTCCAATTCGTATAAATACATAACATCAATTGCTCAAAGATGAATCTAAGAGTGAGAGATGCACACCTGACAGCAGAGAGACACACAGCAGCATGTGAGAGTTCTAGTGCAGAGCTCCAGAGACTCACACACACACAAGAGTTTGAGTTTCTCACTGTGTAAACTGCAGATCTCCTCAGATCCTGATGAACGGCTATCATTTCTATCCTTCAGGAACGACTCACACAAGTTCTTTAACACAAGATTACATGGAGGATCAGCATGAGAAGATATTCTCCTGCAGACAGGACACTCCTGAGTTTCCTTGATTCTCCAGAACTGCTGAAGACACTCTTTACAGAAACTGTGACTACATGATAAAATAACAGGAGCCTTGTAGATTTCATGACACACGGGACAAGAAAAATCATCTTCATATAGTGAAGCCATTTTCTATCTAAGCTCCGGCAATCTGAACTTTTTTTTTTTTACTTTCTGAACGATGGTTTCAAAAAATTAATAATCACAAAAATCACAAAGTTCTGTCTGTTCACCAACAAACTTCTCAAAAATTCTTATTTAGAGCATTTTTCATCATTCTTCATTGATCACTGATTCTTTATTGCTTTTGTCAGTAGAGAAATCAGTACAACAGAAAGGAGAAATAACACGGCAGTCTCTTTCTGGTAAGTGTTGTGAGAGGAGTTTCTGGTCACCTTTGGGTGTGTTTAAACAGGTCAGACAAGAACGTCAGGATTTGTGCAGGTAAATTTTTTAACTAATTGTATTCAAAATGAATTTGCATTGAGACGTTAAAATATAATGATATAAAACCTTGGATAAAATACAAAAGAACAATGATAATACACAAATATTAATAATAAAAAAAACTTAAATGTGTTTTATTTATTGCTCTTTATTGTTGGTGAGTGTTTGAAGCTCACAGAGTTTCTTCAGTGTCTGTCATGATCAAATCTTTGTTTCTTTGTTCGTCTGTTTATCACGATGATTGTCAGTGTTTGGAGACGTGAAGAGGAACCAAACAGATCAACAGAGTAAAAGTTCTGAATAAACAGGAGAAACGGAGATGTGACAAAAGTATGTGGTCTCTCAGGCATTGTCAGCACCTCTATTAATCCGCATTTAGTAATTCCTGCAATCTGACGACTGGAGCTGAAATGAAGGTAAATGTGATTGATGACATGAGCTCTTGAGATTTAATCCTGAAGATCCTTTTATGCAGCAAACACATCAAGACCAGAAGAAAAAACACCACAACTGATCTATTTAAGCGATACAATATAAAATGAGCTTAAATTGTCAGCCTCCACATGATCTACTAGTCATAATGATTTCAGAATACATCAGAATAACTCAAATATAACATTTTATTTGTCAGGTAAAAATGCATCATGCCAATTACATAATTAAACAATGAGAATCCAATTCAGAATTAAATTCAGTTCCAATTCGTATAAATACATAACATCAATTGCTCAAAGATGAATCTAAGAGTGAGAGATGCACACCTGACAGCAGAGAGACACACAGCAGCATGTGAGAGTTCTAGTGCAGAGCTCCAGAGACTCACACACACACTGTGGTGGTTTTCTGGTTACAGAATCCCAAATTACTATAATGCCACTTTGCTTATACCCAGACCAGAACAAACAAATCTTCAAATCAGTTGTAAAAACATAAAATACCTTTTGGTTTGTTAGGATCCTGTGACCCAGAGTCACACCTGGCCGGAGATAGGAAAACATTCTCACCAGACCCACCTCTCAGCAGCAGAACAGAATTCTTCTAAATTCTAAAAACAGTCTTTCTCATTGTCACAGTTCAAGGCAGAGACACGAGGTAAGAGTGCAAACAGGTTAGTTTATTGACAACAGCAGGGGAAGAAGACAGATGGCAGGTAAGTCAGATGATAATGATTACTTAGCTCTGGGTAATGATTTGATTGATCCTTTTCAGGAGTCCGGGGAACGAATGAGGTCAAAAAATCCTTGGGGGAACTTACGGGGCTGAACTCGGGGATTGGAGCCCTCCCTGGGCTTAACTGGGGATCAGGAGCCCTTCCTGGGCTAAATTGGGAATCAGGAGCCATCCCTGGGCTAAACGGGGAATCAGGAGCCCTCCCTGGGCTTAACTGGGGATCAGGAGCCCTTCCTGGGCTAAATTGGGAATCAGGAGCCATCCCTGGGCTAAACGGGGAATCAGGAGCCCTCCCTGGGCTTAACTGGGGATCAGGAGCCCTTCCTGGGCTAAA